TTTTCCAGTTACCAAACCAATTGTCTCGAATTTTTAAATCTATAAACCAAACCAACGTGCAAGTTTCCCTGCATGTGGCTCGTTCGTGATAACTTCTTCGGATTTGCATGAACTAGCGAGCCAATAAAAGTCGAGTTTTTCAATCTCAGTTTTTCCTGAGTTTTTCATTTTTCTCGGGGTTTTCAATTTATTTTTTCCGACAAAATCTTCATAGCACATATTTCTTAGATCCTAGCAGGATAAAACTATATAAGATGTTACCCAATAAAATAATATAAAATAATGTGAGATGAGTCATGATTATACTAGAATACTCAACAATAACATAAAATAAATATTGCTAATTAATAAGCCATAATAAAAATAAACATCATCTAAAAGTACTAAGTCATCCTAAAATAAGTACGACGAATAAGTACTAAGTATTAATTACATGACTAAATAATATTAAAAGTAAGTCATGCATTTTCACTATCTAAACCAATACAGATCTAAAAAAATAAATATCTAATACTATTGTCATTCCTAGTATTGATTGAATTTTTTTTGTTAGCATTAGTATTGATTTGATTTTGCTTTGGGCTTTATTTGAGTTACTAACTTTTATGAGCTATAAAACATATTTAATCATTCAAAAGTATTAAGTCTAAGCTTGAAATAATACATTAAAAGAGAGAAGTATGAAAAAGTATAAAAAATATTATAAATTACATTACTTATTATTTTTATGTAAAAAATAATAGTAAAACTTGTATACATATAATGTCGGGTTGGTTTGGTTTCGATTTGACTTTTTTTAGTTAAAATCAAGCCAAACCAATTATAATCGGGTTTTTTTTACACCAAATCATAGTCGTTTTTTTTTATTTGACTCGAATTATCAGTTTGGTGCGGTTTGTCGATTTCCTTTGTATAACCCTAATAACAATTATATAACTTGAATAGTGGCCGATAATGGTGGGCGGACTTTCGTAGAGTTATAACAATTTTTTTTTCCTATAAGACGATAAATAAAGTACAGTGTAACAGCTATAACTTTTTTTTTTTACAATAATATTATAATGTAACAATAATAATAGGCTAAATTACTGTAACAAACAAGCAGTAGCAAAACATCAGCTTGAAAAAGTCCAAAATCAACAAAAAAAATTACACAAAGCCCAATATTGTTTAATAAAGTCAGAGACAGCAAATTCAACAAAGTTTTCCTCTTTATAGATCCACCTGAGCCATCTCAGTATCAATCGTTACTCAGTAAAAGCTTCACAATTTTTCCCCCAGCGAAAATGGGGTAATCATCAATTCACGAAACTGAGCTCAATTATCCTCCTCGGAACCAGGTCGTACAGATTGCTCAAATTCTGAATCCATTATCACCCCATCCATAACATGTACAACTATCTTCCCTTTTCTCAGATCCACCATTTCAGAAGCAATTCGATTCACTATCAATGACCCATCTGAATCTTTCGATATATAGAGTATATATCCCGATATAGAATCATAATCAATCTCCTTCACCAACTGTACATCATCCGAGCTAATCGCTCTCGGCACAGCTGAAAACCCCATTACTCGAGTTAGTATTGCGTATGTATCGTTCCCATTCTCGCCCACCAAATCATTGGGGCCCAAACCCAGGTCCCGCTCGAATGTTTACCTCAGTCTTTATTATTTGCTAATATAATCTGATACTGATGTGGGTTGTGTTCCCTTATTTGTTGATGATGGTGAGGCTGGTGAGGTACATGATTGAGTGAGGCCGAGAGTCTGGTTGTGAGGATATGAATATCATAGCGCATGAGTTGTCCGCGTAGCACGTGAGTTGACCATGCGGGTCCAGGTATTGATACCATAGCGCGTGAGTTGTCCGCATAGCACGTGAGTTGACCGTGCGAATTCAGGTATTGATATGATGTCACGTGAGTTGTCCCTGCTTAGCGCTTGGGCTTTGGAAGCCCTTCCGGAGTCTGTACACACCAGTGAGCGCAGAGTGTTAAGTGTATTGAGTGTTGAGTGTGGAGTGCAAGTGTTGAGTGATGGAGTGAGGCATTGCTATCAGGTTGCATTTACTTTTGATGTTGCTGCATTTATTTGTTAAATTTCTTTGTGGCATTTACTAAGTTATGAAATTTACCTTTATTTTAAAATTGTGAAAATAAATAATTGGACTGTTTTACTTAGCTCGTCACTACTACTCAGTTCCGTAGTTATTTCTGTTACTACTGAGTTGGTTGTACTCTTACTATACCCTGCACTTTATGTGCAGATCCAGGTGAGTTAGAGCGTGACAATCGTTGAGTGCAGGTCGGCTATCTGTGGAGATTGCAAGGTAGCTGCTAGTGTTTGCAGGACCTTGTTACTCCTTTTGTCATTTCTTCTTTTAAACAGTTATATATCTTAGTTCATAGTTTTAGACGCTCATGACTTAGTGACACCCCGATGTTTGGAGCTAGCTTCCGTATTTTTATATTAGTTATATTTAGAGTTGATTTAGTTTATGAGAAATTTAAATGTTGGTATTGTTTTATTAAATATTTAAAATTAATTAGTAGTAATATTTTGGGAATTAAGTTTGCCTTGTAACACGATAGGCGCCATCACGATCGTGATTAGATTTTGGATCGTGACACAAATATGGCTGCTGCATACATTTTTTATATAATACTCTAGAATGTCATGTTATTTAAGGATATTGTGAAAAATATGCTCTTAATATGTTGCTTTATGCTCAATTCTTATGTTAGTATTTTTATGATTAATATGTATTAGAAGGTTTTACTTCACACTTGAAAAGCGATGTGTTTGATTGCGCACGAAATTTGAGATTTTTTTTTCTTTTGAAATTTGTGGTTTGCAAACCATTATCATTAGTGTAGCTATAAATCATTAAAAGTAAAATATAAGGTTTAAAATTAAATTATTTTTAAATGTAAAAAATAATATTTTTTTTAAACAAGCTAAAAGAAAAGAGTGTTATTTAAATGTGGGATATATGAGTAACCAAAAGTAATAGTACTTTCTTGGACGAAATACAAAATTGACCGTCTAGGTGAAACTAATTATACTGGCCAAAAAGTGTATAAAATATATATTATATACATTTCTCTACTTCTTTTCTTTCTTGTATAAGATTTTTTTTTTAACAGGATTCATATAGAATCAAGAAATTTGTGTAAATACCCTCAAAATACCTCCATTCTATGATAAGAACAAGAAAGAGAAGAAATTCCCCATTGAATTTTGTCACCTAGGTTGTGTTTGCTACGAAGGAAAATATTTTCATGGAAAATAAGTGATTACTTATTTATTCTTGTTTGGTTGGTGAGTGAAAAAAAATTCTGAAAAATATTTTCTAGCGTTTGGTTAGAGAGTAGAAAATATTTTTTTAGGAAAGTATTTTTCTATGCTACTCTCTTCATCCCCCCCCCCCTCCCCCAAGTCTCCATGTTTCCTTGCTCATCCTCCCTCCTCCCCTCAAATACCCAATATTTTTAGGATTCTATTTCTTCAAGAATTTAATTATTCTTCTAAAAATTCATACAAAGAGTTGTAGAAAGCGGAAAAAATTTACATAGAATCTGTAAAAAAAATGTGAAATATACATAGCTTGTATAATTTGAAAAAAGGCACCATATCCAGTGTTGAAATGAGGTAATTTTTTTTTATATATTACTTTTTTTATTTGAACCGGTTATCTTAGACATGTTATTATAACTTAAAACATTGCTAGTAATGATAAGATATAATATTTATTTTTAATAAATTTCAAATTTAGAAAGGTAAAATTTGTTAATGGGACCGATTTGTAAAAAAATCATGCCATCTAAAATAAAATGGAGGATTAATAAATGTCCTCTTTCTAAAAATAAATATATAAATGCGTCCTTTTACATATATACGTCATCAACCGAACAATAATAACAAAGTCCTCAGAATTCTAATTTATAACTACTTATTTTAAATTAAAAATTGTACAAAAATTCCATAGTCGAACTCGATGTATGTATCAAAGCAGCAGATAAGTTAACGTGCTCCTAGTATAATATCTATCAACAGAGACGGATTTACGTGGAGAGGGGTGGGGTACATGCACCCATGCTCCTTTCCCTAGGCTATGTATATTTTATAAAATACTAATTTTTTAATTATGTAATTAAATATGTTTATGGTCACCCATGCTCAAGTAATTGGTTTGGTGCATTGGTGACTAAACGTCCCTCTTATCTTCTTTTTGACCTTAAGGTGAGGGGTTCGATCCCCACACAATTCTTTTTGATTAATTCCTTTATTATTAATTACAGTAAATAAATTTTCAATTTCCCACGCCCTTTTCAGTTAACAACATAATCCTATGCTCTTTCTTTCTTTTCAATTAACGAACAAATACATTTTTTTTTACTTCTTTAAAAAGAAAATTCCTTTTTGCCTATGTCTTTTTTTATTTTCTTCTCTTAATCATTCTTTTGAGTACAAAACTTTGAAATCCCTAAAAACAAAGTACTCATGACTCGTCTCTCTCGACTCTGAGGCTCTCAGTGGATTCAAAGCAGGAAAACCCCGCCTCAATATTAAGCGCCGCTTTTAAAATCTTTTTTGAATGATTGTTTAGTTTGCTGTATAGGGTGTGAGATATTTAAAACTATAAGTAATGATGTTATTATTGACCATTTTCAATAAAAACTCGTCGAGGACAATTGTAAAGTGAATGATATTTTTTGCGAATATAGTATTAATATAGTTTGCTCGTCAACTTGCTGCTATCATAAAATTTTATATAATGAAACCAAATATCCATCTTAAAGATAATAGTGCACCCATAATATTAAAATCCTGAATACGCCTCTGTTTATCAGTTAATTAAATTAATCAATGAAACCTTTCTAAAATTTGAAGTACTTAACTATTAAAAAATTTAATATTTTTTNAGGGTATGGAAAGTTCAAAAAGAGTTTTGGAAAATATTTTCTATTATCTTGGGAAAATATAATTGGAGGAAAATGAGTTCTAGTAAAATATTTGGTCCAACTAGGGGTGTTCATGGTTCGGTTTGGATCGGTTTTCCTTAAAAGAAACCAAACTAAATAAGTCGGTTTTTCAAATATTAGAACCAATCCAAACCAATTAAGTCGGTTTTTTCTCGATTCGGTTTATATCGGTTTTTTGGTTTTTTTCGGTTATTTGTCGGTTTTTTCTTAAATATAAGACATACACTACCAAACACACATTGCGGCGACCGCATTTCCAACATAACACTATCAAATCAATTGCCCTTTGAGAAATCTATTATCTACCAAGATATATTGATGATAATTGAATCAAATAGTGATGAATAATATAAGGACTCAATTAAAAATATATTATTTTTAACATGAAATAGAATCTTACACTTAACAAAAGAAAACTACTAATTAAACTAGAATGTAAATGTAAAGAATTGTACTAAAAGTGCAAACGATTAATATTTACTATAAAAAATTTTAAAACTTTGTATAAAAGTATATATATATGTGTGTGTAATAATAAATTTAAAATAGTTACTCTTATATTCGTACCAAACACACCCCTAATGAGTGGGACCCGATCCGGGAGTTGTGTAGACTTAACGGCCATAGCCGCCATTACACAGCCTCCAAAACTGCGCCCATTTTTTCTTTAACAAAGAGCTTTATATCACTGCCCAAAAAGAAACTGAAGCTAATTCATACTATCAACAATGGCGTCTTCAGCTGTAGCTTCAAGCTCCACACTTCATGTCATCAACAAGGTTTGTGTATCCACAAGAAATAGACTTTTCAGCCTATCTCTACTATATTAAAAGTATGAATGCCCTTATCGAAATATCGTTCGCCTTTTTTACCTTTTAAAAAATAGAGTTCACACTAGATAAAATAGTCATTTAATTATTTTTCCTAATATTTAGGACCTGAAATTCATTAAAATTTTGTTATATCTTTTCTTATTTAAACTAGGTACCTAAAATTTAGGACTTTAAAATTGTACCTAAAATAAATGTGTAAAGAGTCTTTATTTGGACGATAGCATAAATTTATAGACGCATAAAGAGTCTTTATTTGGACGATAGCATAAATTTATAGACGCCTTTTGAAATAGCTTTTACGTGGCAATTGAAAATTGACATCCTAATAGTACTCTAATTGTATTGATAATGAACAAAATAATTTTTTAACATCAATGAGTAATTTTGTTGAAGAATAATGTTAATTCACTTAGTATCAGCAATAAATTATATTAATTATTCTAATTATGTGATAAATAATGTGAGACTAAAATTAAAAACTACTAATATATAGGAAACTAATGTTTCTCTTTTCTTTTAATTTTATCTTCTTCAACTAATCTAGACTATTATAAAAGTATGAAACTTTAACGCAAAATCGACCGACCTTTTAATCATTTAAAAATAAATATCAAATTAAATAAAATTATCATTTAATTTTTTTTTTAATATTTAGAGCATTAAAATTAACTAAAGTCTTGACTATTTTATCTTTTTTATTTTAACTATATAAGAACTCCTAATATTAGGAATGTAGTTACAGTGAAATTACTTATATAAGTCGGATAAATTATTTTTCACAAAAATTCATAATTTTAGAGATTGTTATTTCACCCATAATAATAATAATAATAATCCTGGTGATATTAGAAATATTCTACTTCAAGATACCAAGAGACGAAAATGTAAAGCAAATTGTACAAAAATCACATTCAAAAGCTCACGATTATTTTCAGATTACTAAAATTTAAAGATTTAATATTGGTAATGTTATAAATATTAGCTATGTCAAGCTATTCTTTTATAAGAAAATGTTAATAACTACTTTTCAAAAGTGTTGTCATACAGTTTCGTGGTCGTTCATAGTGTTGGTAAATCTATTTACAGGATAGGTCTTACATGTAATTGTAAATAAATATCAAATTATTGATATGCGGCTAGCTGATATTACCCATCACTATTGAGCAAAATGAAGTACCAACATTTATTAGTATGTATAATCTCTTTATCATAATAATGATCAAATCTACCTAGAAAGGATGACCTGAGAATCTAAATATATCCTAATGAAAGTCAAAAATAAGGTATTTGTAGAGCACTGATCTTCTTTTATTAAGTTGGATAAATGTGATTAACGTTCATTATTTTTTTAAGGAATTTGAATTTTTAAAATTTTATATTAAATAATTCAGATACTTTTGTGAATAATATGTATGTAATTTTTATAATATATAATTCATTGACATAAAATACTCGCGCAACTTTAAGACTAGTAGTCTTAAAAAGTTTGAACTTTCTTGAATTTTGAGGGACCCAATTTTTTCTGTTTTTTCTGTCATTTGTTGTGCAGAGAGATGTGGGTCTATCAGCTTTCTCATTACAACCTTCATTTTGCAGGTGGTTTTCAAGAAAATATTTTCTGTCAGCAGACTGAACGCAAACCAGCTACCACTGGCTCAGTTGGGTATTTTGATTTGTTTGAAATTTCATTTATTTTGGGATTTTCTTGTGTGCATAATATTGGCATAAGATGAGTTTACACGGATTAATGGAGTACATGATTAGTGATGATTCATATAACCGACCCCAACTTGTTTGTGATTGGCGTGTATTAGTTGTTGGAAAAAGATTTGATTTGCATAATATTGGCATGAGATGAGTTTAAAAGGGTTAATGGAGTACATGATTAGTGATGATTCATATAGCCGACCCCAACTTGCTTGGGATTGGCGTGTAGTAGTTGTTGTTGGAAAAAATTTTTTATTTTGCATAAAATTGGCATGAGATGAGTTTAAACGGATTAATGGAGTAACGTGGTCAACGAAGATTTATATAGTCGACTCCAATTTATTTGTCATTCAAGTGTCGTAGTAGTAGTTGTTGTTGGAAAATGATTTCGTTTTCCCGAGAAAAAAAGATCCAAGCTTGGGGCTTTTACCCTGTATTGTTGGAATTCAATTGGAAAGGGCTTAATTTCTTCAAATGAGGACTCTTTTTGTGTTTGTGAATTTCTGTTTTAGGTTTCTCAATGTCTCAGTTAGGGATCAAGAATAATTAGGAATAGTAAAGAAATGATGGAGTTATTTTTATCTGTTTGAAGAACATGACAGGTGATTTATACATGATTTGTTCCATAGTTGGACTAAATATGCACCGTTTGATTTTGTTGGGTTGGATTAAATCTGCACTAGAGGCGGATCCAGGAATTGAACGTTACGGGTTCGGGATGTAACTGAATTCACTAACCATTTGAGTTACTGGGTTCGAAATTTACGTTTATGTATAGATTTTTAATATATATATACAAGGTCTGAGCCAAAACTATTGGGTTGGGCTGAACCCCTAGCTTTTACTTTACATTCGCCCCCTGATTTGCACCACTTTTAATCTTGCTTGACTATTAGTGTTCCACCTTAGTGACCATTTTGAGTCAAATCCCGAACTTAGGTATTTTTGGGCTTTCTATTGATTTTTCCCATATGGGTTTTTGATTTTAGTGAATCTTGATTGTGGATTTGTGATAACATTTGTTAGGTTAAGACGGGGATGACTATGACCGAGAAGATATTAGCTAGGGCTTCTGACAAGCCTGAAGTTACTCCTGGTGATAATGTGTGGGTCAATGTTGATGTTCTGATGACACATGATATTGGTGGCCCGGCCTCTTTTGGAGTTTTCAAAGAACAATTTGGACAGAAAGCTAAGGTATTTATTGCTGCTATTAGAGTAACTTATGTATGCTAATATGATTGAGTGATGCGATTTATCTATTAGTACTTGGTAATTGATAAAACTACATTTCTTTGTACTTAGAAATGTAAATCAATTATATACACCAAAATGTCTCTACACATATGATTCTTGATTGTCTGACAATCATTGTTTGTGTAATATGAAAATACGTGAATCAAAGAGAGAAGTTTTTGAGCTTTATAAACCATCCTTTGCAATGAAATCTTTTTTATAACTACCAAATTATTCAAGCTCGAGTCAGTTTAGACTTTGGCTTCTCTCATTAATTTGAAGCCTGATTAAAGAGTTGAATTGGAATTAGCTTTGAGGTTATAATGGCCTTCAATCATGTGCATAGTCAATTAATGTATTTGGTTTTGGCTGATAATTTAATTCCTCTGCCTTTTATGTCATATTCCAATATGATTTTCTGGTATGGATACCTCACACTTTAGGCTTCGCTTTGAGTAGCTTAACTTTTTCCTTATTGCAAAAGTAGGTCTCTCCGCTCTTGGTTGAAGCAAATAATCACAGCTCATCTGGAAACTTCTCCATTTCTTTTCCTTTTTCTTCATTGCTTTTAGTCCTTTAGATATTGGAAGTATAATTTTTTTTCAAATTTCATATACATGTTCTGAATTCAGAGGCGGGTCCAGGATTTAAACTTTATGGGTTCAGCTTTTAAGATTTTTAGCATTGACCCGTTATATTTTTTAAGTTATGGGTTCATGTCTACTATTTATTACAGTCTCAGTGAAGTTTTCCACATCAATTTAAGATCCGCGCCAAAAGTTATGGGTTCAGTTGAACTCGTACCTACTATGGTACATCCGCCCCTGGTTCTGATGATAAAATCAAAGCAACGAGTAACTAGTGGCAGTTTATGTCATTCTTTATGAAGTTCTCTAATGAACTGAAAACTGTTAAGGCCAGAGTTAACTATATTGAGTAGAGATATGTTTCTCCAAATAAACATGATGTGGCTGCTGTCGATACCATAGGTTTGGAATCCTGAGAAGATTGTCATCATACCTGATCACTACATATTCACGGCTGATGAGCGAGCAAACCGTAATGTGGATGTGTTGAGGGACTACTGCAGTGAGCAAAATATTAAGTACTTCTATGACATTAAAAATCGTGGGAACTTCGGGGTACGGTTATGTTCTATATAAAGGTTCCAACTTGTTTTATGCTTTGCTGCTTCTGTTATCTGGTGTTAGACAAATGAAAAACTAACATGTGTTGTATTGTATAGGCTAATCCAGATTACAAGGGCGTCTGCCACGTTGCTCTTGCCCAAGAAGGTCACTGCAGACCTGGAGAGGTGACAATTGTTTGCCAGTAATCGCAATATGAAAGTGTCTTAATATGTGCTGACATATGCTTTTAACTCTGTAAAATTCTTATATTATCAGGTTTTGCTGGGAACAGACTCTCATACATGTACTGCCGGAGCGTTTGGGCAGTTTGCTACCGGAATTGGCACTACAGGTGCAGGTTTTGTGTTGGGTACTGGAAAGCTTTTGCTCAAGGTCTGTTGACGCAGCCTCCGCAGAAACCATGACTTAGAATCAATTCAGTGCTGTTTAATTTTTTCTGTGGAGTACTGAAACTTCTTAATTACTTTTAATTTAGAGGAGCACTATCTATGAAGTATCAATTCTGTTGCCAAAAGTTATAAGTTCTGTTCTTTCGCCTTCAAAATGCATTTTTTATTCCTGTTTCAAAATTTAAAGCTGTGACATGCAAATTACGGTCATTGACATTTTCCTCTATAAAATTTGGACGTTCATTATTTGTGATTAACAAATGGTGCTGAAACAGTCTTTATTCTCTTTAGATTCTGTGCCTACTGCATTACTTTTGGATACTGAACTGAGCTTCTTCTCCTTCGCATGATGTTGGGAACCTTCTTTGCTTAAAAGCTCAAACTTTCTATCTGTACTTGTTCCATACCTGTAGTTGACACTTTCATATGATATATACCCATTATTTCTCTTAATTTGTAGTAAATAAAAGGTTCTTCGGGCTAATGGACATAATATATGAAATTATATCTGTATGATGTAGGTGCCTCCAACTTTGAGATTTGTCATGGATGGCGAAATGCCAAGTTACTTGCTAGCTAAGGATTTGATTTTGCAAATAAGTACTGTTATATATACTCTGTGGCTCATTTCTGTCAGTTGGATGTCTCATGTACGAGCTGCTTTCTGTCTGTATTTCTTCTTTCGCTAACTTTGTTAGACCGATAATATTCCAAAATTCACTTGTTGTCTGTTGGTACTTTCATGTTGCAGATTATTGGTGAAATATCTGTGGCTGGTGCTACATACAAAACAATGGAGTTTGTTGGCACCACAGTTGAATGTTTGAGCGTAAGCTTTCTTGATATTTTTGATGAAAATAAGCAGGCATCCTTTTTAAATGGTAACAGCTCTCATTGCTCTAATAGATGGAAGAAAGAATGACATTATGCAACATGGTTGTTGAAGCTGATGGAAAGAATGGTGTCATCCCAGCCGATAAAACAACTTAAGAATGGACCCAAGCCGTGGGTACAAGTTACTTCTTTAGATCCTTCCCGTCCCTCATAGGCTTAATATTATTCAGCACATGCTGTCCACAATCAATGATATCTTAATTGCTTGGTCTAGAGAAGGAAAGATCTGCTACTCGAAAGCTAATATATGTTAATTTAATGCTGTCACAGGACAAGACTTCTGTGCCTTATGAACCTGTTTATAGCGATAAAGGAGCCAGGTAATTAAATACTGTTTATCTTCTTTTCCTGAAGCCATAGCGGTTTCACATCATTCTAGTGTGTATGTCCTGTATCTTAGTCTTAATATATCCTAACAATCAACTTGATTCACGTGCCTGACTTTTAGTGCTTCAAATACCAGTACTTCCAAACTGTATTGCAAAAAACAGAAGGAAATGTTTATTCACCATGCTTCCTCACAATACATTAAGGTCGAGCTGCGGTACATTCTAGTGGTTCCCATTTGTCAAAATTGTGTTCAGTGTTATCTTTCCTCATTTGGAATTTCAAATTGATTGTGTTTTTCTTTCTGAGATCCTCCGTATTATGCATTCTTGTCTCCGTTTCTTTCTCTGAAATGTAGCACAACAAAAGTTGGCTTGCTTTCTATGTATTACCTTAATGTTATGATCTTGGGAAAATTATGTGGAGCTATTTTACTGGTTTTTATGAATACATCATTTCTAGTGAATTTCAATCCTCAAGCTTAATTAAATCTTTTTGGTTGTTATCTCCAATGTCGTTAATTGAGACTCACATCAATGGGATATGGAGTTTCTTGGTCTCTTTATATGGTCTCTGGCAATCCTCACCTCATGAGATAGCTTGTGAGGTTAATTTAGGCCCAATGTCCATTTCTTTATCTTGGTATCAGAGCCACATGCATCGCAATTCATTGTTTATCCTATGTTGGGTCCCCATTTTATATTATCCACTCTTCAGATGTCTAGTCCTGGGCATGCCGGGGGTATTGAGTCTTGCATCAGTGGGATATGGGTTTGTTGGTCTTGGGAAATCCTCATCTCATGAGCTAGATTTTGAGGTTGAGTTAGGCCCAAGGCCCATTTCTTTATCGTCATCGTTTTGACATCTATAATGAATAGGTTTAGTAGGATCAAATGTTGCATTGCTAAACATAATCGAGTACATTCTCTAGATGGACCCTCCTACACATTCTTTTGCTCTTATAGAGCTTTCTTAGTAGCAACACATGGAAGTATGGGGTGCTACCGAACATTTTACCAGTGTTGTATTTTTGGAGAAAAGGTGTCCGATTTCCTCTTGAGAATTGAATGAGAAGCAATAGGTTTTAATTTCACATTCTTTAATCAAACTAGCAATGGGAAGAAAAAGAGTGAGTCTCAAAGTATCCTTAGTCACTTTTCAGATCCAACATAAATTCAAGAATCAGACTGTAAGCAAAGTAGAAAAAGAATACATGAGTGCGTGTGGCAATTTTTTTTGTCCCCTTCTTCATTTTCTAGAATTTGGTCGAATTATGTTTGATTCTCTTACTCTAACAACAACAATAACAACGACCCAGCGAAATCCCACTAATGAGGTCTGGGGAGGATAATGTGTACGCAGACTTTACCCCTACTCCGAAAGACTATTTCTGAAAGACCCTCGGCTCAAAAAGACAAAAAAAACAAAAGAAGACAATATTAGTAACACCACATATTCTCTCTTACTCTTAGTGGCTTTATTTTTTGTAACTTGTTAAGTAGAAAGTTGTAATGCACGGCTGCCCTTCGAGATCAGACTATGGCACACAAGTAATGGAATTGGGAAAAGAATTACACATCTAGTCTGTTTATGTTGCTTCATTGTTATAAAAACTTCTCCTCTTATCAAAATCAATACTAGTATTTTTTAATAATTTATAGGTTCACATTAGCATGAGTTTTTATGATAATATTTTCTTTTTTCATCTCAGATTTCTTAAGGAGTACAGAATTGATATCTCCAAGTTGGAACCTTTAGTGGCTAAGGTTGGTTTTATGATCTATTTTTTTCCTACTTGTTGAATGCATAATGATAAGTGCATTTTACTTGATTTAAAAACATATAATTTCTTTGAAAAACAAAAAAACAAAAAATCTATCATATTTCTTCCATACTTTTGTCTAAATTATGCAAGAAAGGTTAAAGAAGTATTGGTCCGGGAACGAGAAGATTACAGAGGAAAAATTAGAAAAACGGATAAGCTAAAGCAGAATAAACATGGTGCTAAAGAAAGACGTGATCTGCCATGACAAAGGACAACCGACTCACAATCGGCTACGACAAACTATAACCGATCCATAACTAACCTATAACAGAAACTCATAACCAAGCATAACAAGGCCACAACTAACCATGACAAGTTCATATCCAAGAGTGTATTGAAAAGTTTGTCATGGCTTGGCTATAAAAAGAGGCATCAATCGTGAAACCAGGGGAGCGAAAAAGAAATCTTAGAAGTGTAATATTGAGTAGAAAGTTTTTCCTTTCTCTTTGTTCTTTAGTTTTGCTTCTGTTTCTTCTTTTAGCCATTACACTGGGTTCATTTCGAGTTCAGAATAAAGTGTAGTATTGGAGATTACTCTAGTTCATGTTTTTCATTAAATAGGAGGAATTATTCTCTTGAATAACCTCACTAAGTGGGATTTCTTATTTAATGGGCAAGATTATTTGTCGGTATTGGCTCCAATATGGAGTAACTTTCTTGTGTTGGGAAAATGACGAATCTTCATATTTTTATATAATAGTAGATATTATTCCTCAAATTTCACATGCTTGAGCTGAAGCTTTTTATTTAAATTTTATCTGCTTTATAGTTGGGTGTTATTTAATTTTGTTAACATCTATCTATTTCGTTCTACATATTAACTTCTTACTAATTCTGTAATCGAAAGAGGCAGAAAAAGTAATAGTTAATTTTGGTATTGATAGATGTTAACTTGTATTTAGTGACATCTAGCTCTTATATGTTAAAATTGATTCTACACTTATTTGTAATTGAAAGAGACGAATATTGTAGTAATCAGTTATAACAATTAGGGTAACCGAAAGGGACTTATTAAAAAGAGCATGTTTTAGTTCAAGTATATATTTCTAGTTCTTTAATATTACCATTTTAACAATTAATTTGTATAACCGAGAGGAGTGTATTTAATTGTTCAACTATAGTAATAATATATAAATATAATCGTGAGAGGCATTTATACATTTATGAGAAATAAAAGTTGAATGATAAATGTATCTACTATATAATAAAAATATTAAGTGAAGTCAGGATTCCAACACCTTTTTATTATATTTGTGAAAAACAAAATATATTCTATTGCTCTATTCGTGCATTTTTAGTTAGTTAATTCACAACTCAACTCTTTCTGATTTTCTCAAATAGTAATTAAAACAAGAAACGTCTGTAGAATAGATAAACCAATCTCTGTGGGTTCGACATCTTTCTATACTACTATTTGACAGAGTACGAGTTTAAATCATATACGCGAGACACTCGTCAAATAACTATTACTGGTACCCGTTTAGTGAAAATGTTTCTGAAGTACTCAAATATATATTACGGGTTTCTAGTGCTGACAGATGACTATGATGTTGCTGCCAACTATCAGTGTTGCCTGCCTGCAGCATAAAAGGGCAGCACGGTGCATTAAGCGAATAATTTTGATCTATAAGCAACTGGAAATTATTCTTTGGTGTGTAGTAATTGGGCAAATGATGTTACCACTCACATTTAGATCCAACAATCTATTACTTGAATGCTAGATTTTGAAGCCATATATACCTGTTTATGCTTATGCAATTATGTTGGCATCTCCTTTTAGTGTTGTACTATGGTAGAGAATTTTATGTGCATGCTGCAATGTTGAACTCCGTCTTAGTACACATATATCTTGTGTGAAAGTCAAAGTTTGTGGTAAACTATACAAGCAGGTGAAAAAAACAAAATGATTCTTGAGCAAATGATTCTATATTTACCGCTTCAGCCCGGGTCAACTCGCTACTGTTCACGTTGGAACGGGGGCCGGGTTGTGTACGTTCACGTTTAGACTAACGGTGCCCTGAACCTGTTAAGCCCGAATTTCCTTAACGGGCTGAACACGGGCTGCAACCCGTTGCAGCCCGGTTTCCGTTTGAAATTTTTTTTTATTTAAATTGGACCGTTCCCAACGGTCAAATTCAGAAATGACCGTTGGGGAACGACCAAAAATTGCAGAAATTGCCAATTTCGGCCCCCCCATTAATAATATAGCCCTCTCACCCCAAAATCTATAAATAGCCCCCCTTCTTCTTCATTTTTTCTCACAAATTCACTCTCTTACTACTCTAATTCTCTCTCAAGTATCAAACTCTCAATTCTCTCTTGATATTATAGTTCTTAAATTCTCAATTCTCAAATCTCAAATTCTCAATTATTTATTATTGCAGGTTTCATCAATTATTTAGTTTAGCCATTACAAAATTATTATTATCAAATATCAATTATTCAAGTGAAGTGTGGTATCAATTATCAAGTATTCAAGTATTATCAACTATCAAGTTTCGGTCTATCAATTGAAGTTTGAATTTTGATATCAAAAATTCAAAATTAGTGCGGCATAAGGAATCCCGGTACACTCGTTCCATCTCTTTCTCTTATTTGGTGTACACTTATTTTATTAATTAGTTTCTTAATTTAATTTCTTAATTTAATTTCTTAATTTAATTTCTTACTTTAATTTCTTACTTTAATTTATATAATGGATTTACTTAGAGCGGCCAAAAAAGCGTGCACTAGAGGTGGTAGTAAGAAAACTTCAAAAAGAACAAGAGGTGGTGTTGGTTCTTCTAGTAGCTTTACACATATTTCTGAAAGTTCACCTGAAAATTTAAATGTAGATTATGAGCGAATGCAAGAAAATTATGGTGTAGATGATGATTTAGATGCTTTGTTAGATGATATTCAATCACCCGATAATCTTGACACACCACCACCTACACCTGGTAATGTTAGTCAAACTCAAAATGTTAGGGGTGCAGGTGCAACAAGTAGGCCTCCTCTCCCTATTAAGAAGAATCGACGATTAAGAAGTAAGTGTTGGATGTTTTTTGAAAGACTAGAAGATTAAAAAAAATATGTAAAATGTAAAATTTATATTGAACATTATAAACATGAGCCCGGTAAAGGAGGGGAAACGGGTCAACTTCGTAGGCATATGGAAGAGAAACACCCTCTTGAATGGGGAGTAGATGAGTT